GGGTGCGGGCCTGGGGCGGGGTCTCCGGCTCCCAGTTCACAGGAGCCAGGAGAGTGTCTGAGGCAGGCTGTCACCCGGTGAGCTTATCAGTGCACATCGCGATAGACGGCAGGGCCTGGGCAAGAGGAGCATCGCGTTCCGGACCATTTTTAATGCACACAGTGAACCGGGTCTAAACAAGATGTCCGAGCCTGGGGGCCGGGTTACAGGGCAAGGTAAGAGTCGAGGGAAGAAAAACTAGCAGGTGTACATAAACATGAGCAGCATCCCTTTGCCCAAAGGTTGAGCCGGGTTTGAGGAGTAGCAGACAGCTCTGCCGCCAGGATAGCCGCTGGGAGAAGATGTGTACGTGTTCTATGACAAGCTACTTCTCGCAAGTCCTTTCCTTCTTCATACCTACAAGTTTTTCAGTAGCTTAAAAAGAATTATTAACCCCTTGAAAATAAAGTTAGAAAGAGGTGCTTCACAATTTTAAAAGCAGATACAAAAAATTAAACAGTTTGTACAACCTAAAAAGTGCACAGGTCACTTCAGTTTTTACAGTATTTTAGAATTAAGGATCAGAGACACTAGTGACACATTTGTTTCATGGCTCAGAAAAAGGGAAAGGCAAGGGGGAAGAGAAAAAAAAGTTCTATAGCATTCACTTACTACTGAATAAAGAACTGAGTTGCAGGAACCACTATTAAGCCCATGAATGCATCTACTACTTTCTGTACATGCAGAGTTGTTAGGATGAGGAAGAAAACCAGGAGGAAGTCTACAAAGAAGCGCTGACTTTGAAAACTGGAATTTATACTACTTGTGAGAACTTGGAGGATCTTCAGAAATAAAACAGACTAAAAATCCACACCACCAGCGAAGTACAAGGTACAGGTAGGCAAGCAACAACTTCTTAAGTTAACTTGATAGTCTCATAGAAACAGATCTGAAAAAATTAGCAAGTTAGAAGAGAGGTGACAAAATTAGGATGAAGGTATTAATAAACTAGCATGGAAGCAGGACAGATGTACATACATGATTTGTATAGTTCTCCAGAAGTTAGAAGATGTACACAGTATTGACACCAATAGCTTGACAAGCTGAACTTCTATGCTGGAAGAAATTTACTATCACCTTGGCTGGAAACATTTACAGAACTATATGCTTATAAACCAGAGATTAATAACCATGTGCAACTTTAGAAGACTTCTATAAAGTATCTTTAATGCCTTGGTTCATGTCATTTTAAAAACAGTCATTTTCAAGAAGAAAATCAATACATTTGTTGTATTGACTTTGCTTTCCCATTCCTATTCCCATCTTTGCTAATGGTTTGGCATCCACAGTATGTACAGTCTGATGCCTGGGAAGATATATTGAAAATTAATCCCAAGTTTCCAACTTGCTAATTATAGTGCACAATTATTGTGGACTTCCCCCACCATCCCCCTACTTCAGTATAATAAAAAAAAAAAAAGTCTTTTCTGTGAAAGCTCCCCAAAATGCCAAAGATGTCATTAGCGAAGTGTTTCTCTAATCTGTATGTATGGCCTGTCTGTCTTTAAAAATTGATATGCAGTCATGCAGATAATGGAAGAAAGTCACTGGAAGAGGGCAGCTACCATAATCTAGAGAGCTGTATAACCTATCCCCATTTGCCATGGGAATCTTTATTATACTGCTCTCCTTGGCCTTTCCTGAAGAAAAAATCTTCATCGCATCCTAGTAAGATTTCTGCAGGTAGGTATAAATGAGAAAAATTTTTGCTCATATTTCTCATGACCCAAGCTGCATTTACTCACCTTTATTAAATGAAGAATCTCTGCAACTGAGCTCGGTAAAGTGTCATTTAACCAGAAATCTTATCTTCATCAAATGCTTTGAGTTCTTCTAAATAATTGGATTGGGTCTATTTTTGACAAGGCCACACACAGAGTCCTTTTAAAGGAAGATGCCATATGATCTCAGCTAGGTAAGTGGATTCTCAGAACACATCCCCATCTCTTAAAACAGACAAGAAAATGGGCATGACAAAATCCATGTTATACAATATGCTGTATATACAAATTGAAAGACTGCATCTCAGTTTTTCCCATTACTCAGTTTAACAAGATTCAGTAAAACATGGAAGCAAAGCACCAATAGCCATCTTTCCCCAAGTCCTTGAAGAACGTCTCAGCATCTCCTACCGGTCTTCAGGTCTCTAAAGTTTCTTCATTTGCCCCACAAGTGTCTACAACACAGATTAAACAACTTGTCACTGGGAAAGCACGGACTTTGGAGTTGGCTATCCACTTGTCTGTTTCAGTATTATATTCAAGAATGTGCCCTAATCGACCAACACCCTGAAAACCAGCTAGGACATAGACTATAGATCCCACAGCAGCACACTTCACTGTTACACCTTTCCATGGCATTGGAGACACCATCTTCCATTCATTCATCTTGATATCGTAATATTCTACATTATCAAGGCCACCTACAAAGCAATGAAATAGATAACTGCTTATTACATTATACCGTGCGGACTGAACTAGAGCATACAAATGCTTCATTAAGCATTGTCTTAGTCTTTATTTTCAAGGTTTAGATTAAAACATAAGTCTTAGAGTAAAAAAAAAAACTTGAAAAAAGGCCACAGGTTTCTAAACTAGTGGTTTACCCTTTTATAAATACAGAAACAGAATAGTAAAAAGGAGACTGAAAGCAAGATGTGTTGTAACAAATTTCACATTATACGCATTCTAGAGAGTCCAACATGTTACTTCATGAACAGAAGAACTAACAATGCCGAATTTCTTATGGATTTGTAGCTAGTGACTAAAACTCAGGAATCCACTTGAAACTTCCCTATAGTGAGGGCATTTTATTCTAGAGGGGTCACCAGTACCTTTACCTAAATTGGTCACTTACAGATAGGGGATGTCTCTCTTCATTATGATATTAAAATCATTGAAGTTTAAAAGCCTAAGTCCCTTTGAAAAGGGCCAAGGGAATTAAAAGTTAGTAGAGTAGATTTTGTGACTAAGATTTGCTTCTTTAGGAAATAGGCTAGTAATTACACTTTACAGTATCTACAAACATCCTGTTATTTAACAATTGTAATATGAGTCACAGTTTTCACTTCCAGTCCTGATTTATTAGATCTGAGAAATTAAGAAACTTTTATATATGTTAAGAGGTACAAATATTTCACCCCAGACGTAACTCTTCCCCATTATATTACAATAAGAACAATCAGTCAGGCTACAGAATATGAGCAGCAACATAATACTTTAACTTACTGGTTCAATAGTACAGACTTCTAAAATGAGCATTCAGTAAATACACTAACATTTTACAAATTGGCAGCTCCGGCTATAACCAATTGATAAAATGTTTGTGCAAAAAATGCATCTACTGATATTTTTGCATTAGAAATCAGTCATGCTGGAATAGTTCTGATAGCTAATTAAAATACAAGCTGTATTCTAAAATAGCATTAATCTGAAATCAAATATTCCAATTACCATAAATAGTGATTAATAAACCTCATAGCTGAGAATTTTCCACTTTGAAAACCACTTCAGAAAACCTGTGTAATTAAAATTCAATTCTCCTGGGAAATAAACTATTATTATTCTAGTTTTAAAGACAAAGAGATAGGCAGATGATAAATGACCTGCCCATGTAAGTCATATTTCAGAACTAAAAAAAGTTCTCACTTTTTCACCACTTTAAAATAGCTGACTAGCTTTAAGTCTTTAGACTGAAGTTCCTAAAATACTGGCTATGTCTTTACCTGTCTCTCAAAAGAATGCTAAAATCTCTCAAAATACATAATGAATAACTAAAAAAAAAAAAAAAAAATCTTTTCTCAGATGACTGGTTTAACCATATTAACTGCTGCAGAACTGCGCTACAGTATGGGTGCACATCTGAATTTGACAGTAGTGTCATTAGTAAGAGTTTGAAAAATAAGATACAGTGAAGTAGGGAGGTGAAAGAAGGCAGGCAACAATGATATGACAACAGGACATGTTTTAGGGTATTGCTCAAAGTTTTTCAGCTGAACAGAGTAAAATTAACTCTTTGCAGAAGAAAAAAGGCCCCCATGAAACTTTGTGTGACCAGCTAGAGAATTAATAGAATTAAAGTACCTAAGCCATTTTGTCCACCCACAGCAAATATTTTGTCCTTTACAAACACCAGCCCATGATTCTTCCTGGCTTCAATCATTGGACATAGCTCAGTCCACCTGGGGAAAAAGAAAACCAAACATAACAGGAAAACTCACTATTTAGTTCCTAGAAAATAAGTATAAAATATGTAAATAAAACCTAGCATTAGGAAAATGAAATACAGAAGAAAGCTGCTTAAGAAAAACTGCCTTTTAAGTAAAACTACAAATAAGTGATTTATTACTGCTTAACTCAGGAAAATTCCTTACCACATACAACTCTTCCTATTCATCTATACTTCAGTTATTTACAGAGCGAGCAAAGCCCCAAGTAACCAAAAATAATCAGAATTGATTCAATACTTACGTTTCGGTGGCTGGGTCATAAACTTCACAGGAATTTAGGACTCTTCCAGAAACATTGTTTCCCAAGCTTCCTCCGCATACGTAAATGAGACCATTCGCCTCTACCATTCCATGGCTGCATCGCTGAGTCAGCATGCTGGGCTTTGTGTGCCAGCTTTCTGTTCTTGTGTCATAGCATTCAAATAAATACAGTGCAGAATTTCCTTAAAAAAAATAGAAACCCACCAAAGTGGCATTAATTTTTATGGTTGTCTTTCAAGAGAAGAGTCTAACAGAAATTATCAAATTGATGCTTTTTTTTTTAGTTGAAAAGGGAAAGCTGCTTTCCCACCTCCAAAAGCAGAACTAACCAATTTGAAACTTGGGACTATTCAGAAAGTACATACGTGTAATTCTTTTGACTCTTTTGTTCCAAAATGTGCAAGTAAATTTATAAAATTGCTATTTGTGTTTAAAAACAAAAACAAATGATGAGGATATTCTTTTATTTTTAGGGGAGGAATAAACACTGTACAGAGATGTATATAAATTACCGATCATATTGCCATCTCCTCATGCTACTCTCACTACTTAGAAATATATTGAACTTTCAGATGTGAAGATGAAACCAGCTTTGTAAACTTAGTACGGATTCACACAAGTCTTTTTTTCTCTAAGCAATATGACTTGCCCAATTCCCAGAATACTTGTTGCCTTTGGAATTAGATAGCTTGATTATGTCATAACATACGCCTGAATTATTAGCAACCACAAGACAGCTACTCCTCACCATTTTACTTTCTTCCTGGGGACTGGCAGATACTTATTTTCTGGAAGTGCAAGGTCTGTGTACTCCTCCCTCAAGGGCCAATAAAACTATGACTGGAATCAAAAGCATTTTTTCTAATGGAGATGGGAGCTTAAAGACTTGTACTCATGTAACTAGCTGAACCACAGCCAAAGCAGAGAAGGCTGGATACAACTTTCTCAGAAAAGAACCAGGATCCTTCTCCTCTTTGTTTCAATAGATACATTCACCTAGAACAGTTAAAGGTGCCTTTTCCTGTGCCTCTTTTTCCTTGGCTTTCTACTTCTAAAAATTGTGCCACACTAGCAGCACCCACTACCAGCTGCGGATTTGAACCCTCAAAACAGTGCTACATTTCCAGACCCCAAATACAGGAGCAGACTTCTATAAACTGTGTTTGTTTACTCCTACCATGTAATTCTCAATATCACGAAGAACTGTATAGAGTGGGACACATTTTTTCCTTGATGTAAATACACATCCTTATTGCTTTGAAGTTGTAGAAATTCTCATCCATGGGAAATACAGCAGAACTGTCTTTAATGTCTTTTTTTTAAAAAGGGAAAAGCTTCCATTTTCAGTATAAACTTAAATATTTTTCCTGCACCTAAATATAGTGGAAGAATTTAGTATGTTTAGCTTTCAAACTCTGCTAGCTATTGCAAATAAAACAGTACTTCCATCAATTCAAAAAGGGGAAACGAACCCTGTTTTCTGTAATGGACTGGCACAGTAATTTGTTTTCCAAACTCTTCAATCAATGCAAAAAGCATGCAATTTTTAGATTTCACTACAGCTTAACACACTGCAGCATTTTCTCCAATTAATGGTTTCACATAATTGCTCCAAATTAGAAAATACTAGATTCAGGATAGACAGACTTTTCCAAATATGCCACGTTCACTGAATTCCAAAGAAGAAAAAGGTACAGGCAAAATAAACTCTGTTATTAATTTTCAGCTTTTACTATTCTGTCTTGTATAATATTTATGGAAAGCAAAGTGAAACTGTGCAGTAATATGAGGGTAGACTTAAAAGAAAATTCCTAAATTAAAGTTTCATTACAGTTGTATTAACTAATTACAATGTATTAGAAAATAAACTATACAAAGTTTGTAACATACTCCCTCATGAACTGACATGTGGGAAACTAGGAAGATTTACGAGGTTTTGTAGTGTTCCAAGTTTCCCAATGCAGCCTTAGTTAAGCCTATTTCAAGTAATGGGAAGGGTGCTATTTCACATTTATCACACTAGGTGGCGGCTAGGAACTGGCTAATCTGCTGCTACAGTAGACCTCTTATCAGATAACATTACCTAAATGTCACAACTTCCCATTAAGTGACTTATCAATTTAAGCAGAGATTATGACCTTTTTTTTTCCTCTGCTCACCTCCCTCTGCAGCAAGGCAGTACTCAAAAAGATCTACTAAAAAATTCCTCCCTGGCTCTAGGGTTTGGGGGTTTTTTTTGTTTTGATGTTTTGTTTGTGTGGGTTTTTTTTTTGGTTTGTGGATTGGTTTTTTTTTTTTCTCTTTTTCCCCAGAACACAGCTTTTTTTAAAGCTCTATATTTTTTATGGATATAGTATACCTACATTGCAACTTTTGGTTTGCTGACGATGTATCGGATTTAAAAAAAATTAATTTAAAAAATGTTGCTACAAGACCCCCAATGGTCTTTTGTTTTTTTTTTTTTTTACTATGATGAGTAATAACATCTAAAGAAAGTAGTATTCCTCCATTTACTGAAGCAAACCAACAGAATAACAAACTAACAGAAGACAACTTCTGTCATTTGACACAAGTTGGCCAAATTCCTTTACAGGGCAGGTATGATTTCACCACCAAAAGCAGTAGTTTCAAAAGCTTTTTTCCACCCCTTTTTTTCCTTAAAAAACCTCATTAGGCCCAACATATGTTGTATACAAGGAATGCCATTGCTAAAATGCAGCTATTCTGGCCATGCATTGCAGAAAATTTTAAACCACACCGAGTTCTGTGGATTTATAGAAGCTAGCTAAGAGCAGAGTGGGACTCCCAAAATATATTTGCTTCTCCTTAGTTAACTCTTAAGAGTTGCAGTGTACTTTATGCTTTAGTTAATGTAAATATTAATCATTTCAATCAGTGAAACCATTTTAAAAACACAACAAATAGATTGTTGGATTGTGGGGAGGATAAAATCCTAAATATGGGAAAGTAAACTCATTAGGCTAACATGGCAACGTGCAGTTTCTTTTCAACAGAGTCATGCAAAAACCAGAAAAATTTCCAGGTATGTTTGTTTGTGCTTTTTTTTTTTGGTTTGTTTTAAAGATTTTTAGTGTCTTACCCACTTCTGAACCACCAGATGTATAAATTTTGCCCTCAGCAGCACAGGCTGCAAGGCTATCTCGAGGTGTTGGAGGTCCTAGCTTGGAATACCAGCTATCCTTCACCACATTGTAGCAGTCCATTCGCTTTATAGGGAAGAGCTGGGAACCACCCAAAATATAAACTACGTTGTCCCAGAAGACACAAGCTGCATCCCTGCGCTTTTCAAAGGGACATCGGATGTCTGTCCAGCTGTAATCCTGCATTACAAAGAACAGGTAATGTCTAATAGATTATAACACTTACCTGCACAGCGAGTGTTTTTCAAATAGAGCTTTTCATAGAGATTTAGATACGGTCAGTTTTAAAGTTCCTTTTCATAACAAACATGAATACTGTTTATTGAAGAATACTCCTCAGGCGTACTCTTGAAAAATTCTCTTAGACACAGACATAGTTAGCTGCAATGAACCATGACATTATGAATTTCTATTTCCTCATTCCCTGTGTGCACCCAGTACAGCTTCCCTGAAAAACAGATATTTTTTTTTTCCAACAGAATTGACCTCCTACTGCTATCATGTCAGAAACAATGCATGTGATCAATAAAGTAGGATTGCATTTTCTTTTATAGTAATGGAAAAAGACATCTTACATATAGTAACAGATTCTTTCTAAAAAAATAAAATACAGAATGTACCAAACAAAGGCGATGGAAAAAGGAGAAGATAATATCCAAAGTGACAAGCAACTCAGTTAAAAAGCTCTGATACATACTTTATTACCATGACAACTAGAAGCTTATTTACAGAATTTACAAAACACAAGTGATCTATAGCTATCCACAATTGATAGCATGAGAAATAGGGTAATGCTCCATCACAAATACTGGCAGTCATGTTGCCTAGAAACTGATTTTGCATGGATTGGCAAAATCAGTGAGTATCAAATATGGGCAGTAACACTACCCAAAGCCTTAAAAACACCAAACTCAGCAACCGATGGCAGACCATCAGGGTAGCATACAGCACAAGAAACACTTCTTGAGTAACAGCATCTCACATATTCCATGAGCATAGCTTGTATCCTATACTGAACAGGAAAGTATGGGACCTTAACTGTTATCTGTGCCACCTCGGGATGGTCTAGCTCAACCTGCTGAATGACCTTCATTGTAATGGTTCACACAAGACGTTACATCATTACATTTTCTTAGCAAGGACATACTTCAAACACCTTGGTCAATGAGGAAGAACAGCGACTCCTACATGGGGGTTCAAAGAAAGAGAGGCAGAGCATGTTATAGTCCAAAACATCTTACAATCTTTTCTTGTAGCATCCCCCATATCAAGAAGAGCTGGCAGGTGCATGTGGCCCTTTATGGTGAGAAACAGGTCCTGGGGCATCCTAGAAAGGAAAGCCATACTACAGCATGGCAAAATAAATAGCTGCATAAATCTTAAGAAAATGTCTTAGTGCATTGTGCAAGATCAACATATTTTCTAGCTCAAACTTCTGGCACTTTTACAAAAAATCCTGTTTTCCTTTACTGTTATAAAGGGCTGTGATCTGACCCACTTTTATGGCTTCAGTTCATAGCTACCATTTCATCCACACCTTTATCAAATGAAAAGCCATAACCTGAGCATACTCAGCAGTATCCTCCTCTTTCAG